CCAAATGCTCTTAGGGAATAAGACAGGCTGAAGCAGGTCAACCCAAGCTTTTCCTCATTTAACAGTCCAGAAGCAGCATGCAAATCACGACTGAAGAAGAAATACACAAGGAGTCAGCATAAAATAAAGTACGGCACACAGTAACGATAGAATCAGAGAATCATAGAATCATAGACTCATAGACTGCTTTGGGTTGGAAGGGACCACCTAGTCCAACCCCCCTGCAGTGAGCAGGGAAACCCTTAAGTAGACCAGGTTGCTCAGAGCCCCATCCAACCTGACCTTGAAAGTTTCTAGGGATGGGGCCTCCACCACCTCTCTGGGCAACCCGTTCCAGTGTTCTACCACCTTCATTGTAAAAAAATGTCTTCCTTATATCCAGTCTAAATCTACCCTCCTTTAGTTTAAAACAATTACCCCTTGTCCTGTCACAGCAGGCCTTGCTAAAAGGATTGTCCCCATCTTTCCTACAAGTCCCCTTTAAGTACTGAAAGGCCGCAATCAGGTCTCCCTGCAGCCTTCTCTTCTCCAGGCTGAACAGCCCCAACTCTCTCAGCCTGTCCTCACAGGAGACATCCTCCAGCCCTCGGATTATTTTTGTGGCCCTCCTCTGGACCCACTCCAACAGATCCATGTCCTTGTGCTGAGGGCTCCAGAGTTGGATGCAGTACTCCAGGTGGGGTCTCACCAGAGCAGAGGGGCAGAATCACCTCCCTCGACCTGCTGGCCACGCTGCTTTTGATGCAGCCCAGGATTTGGTTGGCCTTCTGGGCTGCCAGCGCACATTGCTGCCTCATGTCCAGCTTTTCATCCATCAGTACCCCCAAATCCTTCTCCACAGGGCTGCTCTTAATGCCTTCATCCCCCAGGTTGTAGTGATACTGGGGGTTACCCCGACCCAGGTGCAGGACCTTGCACTTGGCTTTGTTGAACCTCATGAGGTTCACACAGGCCCAACTCTCCAGCTTGTCCAGGTCTCTTTGGATGACATCCCGTCCTTCTGGCATGTCAACTGCACCACTCAGCTTGGTGTCATCTGCAAACTTGCTGAGCATGCACTCAGTCTCGCTATGTCATTTATGAAAATATTAAACAGCACTGGTCCCAGTACAGACCCCTGAGGGACACCACTTGTCACCAGTCTCCATCTGGACATAGAGCCATTGACGACAACCCTCTGGATGTGACCATCCAACCAATCCCTTATCCACCGAACAGTTCACCCATTAAATCCGTATCTCCCCAACTGAGAGAGAAGGAGGTTGTGGGGTACTGTGTCAAAGGCTTTGCAGAAGTCCAGATGACATCCGTTGGTTTTCCCTTGTCCACTGTTGTTGTCACTCCATCATAGAAAGCCACTAGGTTCGTCAGGCAGGACCTGCCCTTGGTGAAGCCATACTGGCTATCTCAAATCACCTCCCTGGCCTCCATGTGCCTTAGCATAGCTTCTTGGCGGATCTGTTCCATGATCTTCCCAGGCAATACCAAGCTCATTTTCTTTTTCAGGACTACAGCAGTCGAGAACAGCTGCACTATCTCTACAGGAGCTCTATTCTCTAGAGCCTTCACCTTCTCCTGCATTACCAAGCCTAGACGCAATACACCATGACTGTTCCTATGTCAATCACCCAGAAAAAACAAAACAAAACAAAACAAGAAACCCTGAGTTTTTCTCAGGACTGGCAGCTTTGAAAACTTACTGCTTTGGTGCACAGGAACTACAACCAGCCTAAGACATCCTCCAGTCTTATGACACACCAGCTCCCTCATGGATGCTTGCTAAGTATCATCTTGCCTTTTCCTCCCTCAAGCTGTTTTTTATAATATAATATTACCTGTAAGGAAAAATAACAACCAGAAAACGTGCTTCTTTAAAAGGCTTTCACTTTTCCCATATTTTCTCTATTGTTTCAGTATTATTAAACTCACAAGACTCGATGATTAAAAAAAACATTCAAGTCCAGCTCTGTAAGATGGTGTACAACTGTGGCCCGTATCATGAATAATGTGAAAACAGAAACAGACAAGCTCTTGTCAGGGTTGTGATAATCTTGAAATATTTTTATTCAGCTGCACCTAAACAAATCACTCCAGAGAGATACAGTTGGGTTCCAGAAACCTACAAGTATTTAGAGAGGATGAGACAACCATAAACTAAGGATGACACTGTGTTGTCTTAAAAATTGTATACAAAATACTGAATTTAATAGTTTCATTAGCTACAAAAAACACATGAAAATTTCAGAGTTTATATACATAAATCATTTAAGAATGGATCACTGATATTTACAGATGAAGACATTTTACATGTAGAACTTGGTCTCTGCACTTAATTAAAACAGCTTTGACACTTAGAGCCTTTATACTGTACTGAGAAAACACTTTTAAAATAAAGCAAGTCTTAACCATTTTCATTGAGGTATATGTAAATGCTGCTCTTTTTCATTTGCAAACAAAAAAGAACATTTAAATACAGCAAGTCCTGGAAACTTCCATTTATTTAGAACACCCCTACAGTGCAAATCCACCATAAAAGCAAGGTATTAAAAATATATCAGAGCCATTCAGCAAAATGTCAGGACAGGTACTTTGGTAAGCTATGATTTTTGTTCAGCTGCCATCAGTTTTCCCTTGAAAGATGGAAGTCCTGAAAGATGGAAGTCCTGAAAGATGGAAGTCCTGAAAGATGGAATTATTTCCTGTCGCAAGTCCATACTCATCAGATTCAGGTTCTAAATTATCCAAGTAGAATGGAGATCAGTTTTGCCACCACATGTACATTGAGGCTGTTTCCCAGAAGACGGTAGCGTTGCTTTACTGTTACTTTGTCAGGAAAGCCTAAAACAGAAACATAGTGCATCGTCGTTAGTCCGGGTTTGTTCCTAGCTTTTAGTGTACTCCTTTTTTTTCAGCGAACAGTTCTTAATGAAGTTATCACAGATTGCAGGAGGGTTAACCCTCCCACCCCCCCAAAATTCACAAATTTACAAAAATAATTCCCAACCACTTCAATGGGTTTGGATCAGTTCTTCCATGAGCAGTACTGCCAACCCTAAGGTTTAACAGAAGCCTCAAAGCACTGCTCGGTGGTGCGAGTAATGCCGATCTACCTTCTCTTCATCCAGCAGTCTCAGGGAGGAGCAGCAGCACCTAAAGCACTGCACAACCACTACTCCAGAGAACATCCAGAGAGGAACGTGGCCACAGCAGAAAGAAAATGCAATGATTCCACAGATGGACTAAACTGCATTTCTCAATAAGCTTTATATTGTACTTCCAGTCTGAGCCCCTCTAACCAGTTGAGGCAAATCAGATTTCTCTTGCAGTGCAATATCCCACCAGTACAGATTAAGCTCTGAGCAAGGCTTATTCAGTGAGCAATCAAGCAGCTGAACAATTTCCCATGTAATTCAATGCTGACCCTGTCAAATGCACTCAGAAATAAAGACAGCATCTGAAATGTCCTTCACATGGTAAGTGAAGGCAGAAAGAAGGGAGGCCCAACAAAAAAACAAACTGATCCAGGTATTGTGAAAGGGCTGTGTTTTGTACTGAGTGTACAAAGGTGATGAAGCCTCTGAGAATGAAGAAGCTGCAACAGCCCACTGGTCTGCTTTAACTGTCCTTGCTTGCACTCCTAGCTTACTCCAGCTGTGAACTAAAGTGCATTTGCTTCAACTTGAGTGAAAGACGAACAGCGGTGGGGATTCAACCGTTACGGTCATTTACTAACGTGCTGAAACTCAATCACATTCAATTATTTGATCATTCCCTAAAAAGAAAACCTAACTTTGAGCCCAAGGTCATCATCAGCCAGAAGAGCTTTGATGCATACACACATTGTTTGTGCAAGCAGCGATATATATATTCTGAAGTTTTCACAGGACTTCAGAAAAATCCTCTTCCAGGGACTGCTCAGGAGAGAACATGGTTGGACAGTTGCTGAGCCAAGGGTGGAAAGCTGAGGAGGAGGTGTCTGGGAGGAGTTGTTCCATCCTTCTCTGCCAGTTATTAATGCCTCAAATGTGGACTGCTTTGGTAAACACATCTTCTGCCAGCTCCATCCACTCTGCCCAGCTTCCTGGCACTCACATTTGGGCAACCGTTCTTCTCTTTGGAACAATCACTTGCACTCCCCCACACACTTCCTTAGATGGAGTTTTCACATTAAATCACTGAATAAGGTACAGAATCTAAACATTTTAAAAGAGTATATAAAAACAAATACGCATTTATGCACACACATGTGCACTTATAGCCCAAGAAGCTTATCTGAACCCTGAAAGTTTCAGAGTTTCTCCTTCTGCTTCTTGGCAACTGAAAGCCTGAATTAATTTTCAGGGCTCGCTGTTTCCTTTATCCCAAGCCTCCTCCATCTGCCCATTAACGTTATCTTGTACTTTCTATCTTCTTCCTGGCTCAAGAGCAGCCTACGTGAGAAGGACAGATTTAACAACTCATAGTCCGCTGGCACTTGCCACACAGCTCTCACTGTATCATTTAGGTCATGCATGCTACTTGATGCTGCCGTCTTGGCAACACGCACTACCACATTGTGTGGCTTTCCACTAGGCTGCCATTTGTCTCCCAATAGCTTACGTACATCACTAACAGGAAAAATGGAAAAGGCATCCTGACATCACCCTCATGAAAGCAGGTCGCAGGTGCAAGAAAGCTCTGATCGCTTTTAATGATATTGCTGCAGGACCCACAGCAGCGACTAAGACAAATGACTGCAGTATTTCATTGACCTATAGTGCAATTACTATTTATACATTTAGATGTTAAAAGCACAAATAAATCAGTTAATGTTAAGAATGGACAATGATACTAACTCCGGCCCTCATGTATTGGGAAAGGCCATCAATCTGTCAAAATACAGAACCATTTGGACACAATCATGTTTCTTCTGATAACACTGCAGCTGCAGCTAGTAACAGCATCTGTTACAAAGCTTCCTGACATTCTCTTCACTTCATTTGCAGCTTATAGTTTTCTCATTCTTTAGCTTCTTGGACCAACAACATATTTGCAGTGGGTACATCTCCAAGCTTTCTGTTGTTGAAAATTTCAGCCCAAATGTTGCTGTCACTACAGAACAAAGGAGCAGAGAAATTATAGCACATTTCTCTCTGAAGATAAGACACTTCACAATAATGACTTGAAATTTAACATGGGAGAAATGCTGTCAGTGGGAAACACCCTTTGCTGTAGCCATAAATATAGCAACTTTCAAAAAAAAAAAATAATCATAGCTTGCAGATCCTTGAAAGAAACTTAGATTATAGCACCTAAATTCACCAAAGATTTCAATCAACTGAATAACAAAGTGGGAAATGTCTTAGATTAAACACAAAGGAAATGTCAGACTTGTGACTCAGTGCACTGGGAAAAGCTTGTTCCACCTATGAATCAGGAGTATATGTGAGAGGAAGCCACTGGATGAGAGAGGCTTTTTTTATGTGTTGTGGAAGTTGGCAAAGTAGTATAGCGAGGCAGGGAACTGCAAGAACTGTAAAGAAGGTCCCATGATTAAGGCAGGAGGGTACTGCCCTCCAAGAGGTGGAATCTGTCCGTATCCCTCCCTCTGCAGTTCCCAGGTGACAAAAGACAAGTTTGCTCAATGAGCACTTTGTAGATGGCGATGATCTGGATGCTCCTCAAATTCAGAAGCCTGATTTGTCTTGAGAGTTCAGTTCTGGTTTGCAAAAATATTGAAGGTCACAGCTGTGCCTGAAGATGAGCTCTGAACAGAGAAGGCATGGCATCATTCCAAGCACTCTGAAATAGTAAAGGTCAGGTTTCGCAAACTGATCACCCTAAATTAACGGAGTCTTCTAAACATAAATTTCTCCATTGTCTCGGTTCTCCCTCTGTAAAATACAAGCAGTATTAACCCTACTACACCTCTCGGGTGATGTTGCAAAGACTGATTTAACATTTGGAAAACAGAAGCTGTATTTTAAAAAAAAAAAAAAAAAAAAGAAAATGGGCAATTCTGTGCTCAAAAAAATCTTGAATACCACGATAAACCTACACAAGCCCAATCCATCCCTGTTTAGCTCAAGTTTCTTTACATCAGCCTACAGCAATATGGAACAGACTAAGTAATGAAAAAATCCCGCATGTTGGCATGTAACTCGACGCAGCACGCTCCTGCAAACACTCTTAAATAATTAAGCTTAGTTTCAGCAACTCTAACATTTGACTTTGCAACCTTGATAATGTTCTTTGAATGTAGTGATTTTGAATATAACTGTAAGTAATAAATGAGAAAACAAACTAAAACTACAAAAGAAATAAATATATAAAAACTGTTAGCACTCCTTAGAACTCAGTAGTCACTGAGGAAGTCAAAGAAAAATGTAACAAATTACTCAAGGTTGGTGGTGTCCTGTTCTATGGATGCTTGTGTTGCTGAGAGACAGTAAATTGATCTGATGTGACAGCAGCAGGCCAAGCTCCTTAGAAGGTAGTAACAGCTACACTTTCTTGCCTGCTTTTCTTCACAAGGGGAATTCTGGTGAATTTATTTCAGGCGTAATTCTGGTTGACCTGTGTCCAACGTACTGGTATTGCTGAGTCTTGTTCCTTGACTCCCTCTTCTCCACAAAAATGGTTAGATAATGAAGTAACTGACCAAGGGCTAGGACTGCCTTTTCTAGAAAACAGGGATGACTTAAAAGATCATTAACTGAAGAGTTTGGTTACTCCTGAACAAAGAACCATCTGTATCTTCTGAAATTCCATTTCTGTCAGCAGCTGCAAACATGTGGAAGGGAGAAAGCAAGCAGCTCAAACACTGAGAACCACCAACAGACCTCCTAAACTGGCAGGATATGTTGACTTACCATAGTTGTGAGTAATGTTGGCTGCTGAGTAAATAGTTTCAACTTTAAACAAAGGTATTCCTTCATTGCTATTCAGTAATAGAACATTTCTCATGCCAAAGCTTTTTTCTTAGTTTACGAAGATGAACCTAACCACAGAAGCTGGCTCTTATAAAATACAAAAAACTAGTGGAAATTCAGAGAAATTCAGAGTTAGCCAAATAACAAGAATCAATCATAAGAATTGAGCAGTCCAAAAAAAAAAAGGCAAAATAAAAAGCATGGATGAGGCCCCAGCAAAAAAACTACTTTGGCACTTCTGAAGAATGATAAAGAAATGGGTACTTTGCAGCACATACCAAATTCCAGAGGGAATCCATGAAGATTTGCTATTTCTCTCGGGGTAAAGTACCTCAGTTTTAGTGTTGACAATTTCATAAGCTTCTCTTCTTCTGACAACTCCTCAATGTGTTTAAACACTGATTCAAGCTATGAAGAACAACGGAAACAACACATATCACCAATGCAGGTTGAATATGTAAAATTTAACACCCACATCTTAACAGAATATTTCTTTGATTATCACAGTGCTGAAGACAACAGCGCGTTTTGCTTGAAAGTATGATTGGTGTTTTATTTTTGTAGCCAGTATCTCAACCCATGGACTTGCAAGAAAGAAGTCAATGTTGCCATGAGGGCATTCACCATTTCTTCCTCCAGTTACAAGTTATACCAATACTTAATGAAGCAATCAGAGGACTATAAACATTTGTTAGTGACAGGAAAGTGACAATATAACTCAACAGCAGACCATCCACACAAATTAAGCTGTATGGATGTAGCTCTTTTAATACATTCTCTTTGAGATTATCCTGAGTTCTAAAGTTGTATTCTTCTTATGCTTACGAAATGCCATATGATATTAGTGAACAGCACAGGAGTGCAGGAGGTGGTGCCTGTGTACAGAACAGGCTTTGTGAAAAGGGTCTTTGAATGATGATTCACCAATATGTTTATTTTTACCTTCCCCAATGCCAAAACACCACTTTGTGGTGAACTTAGTATCAACAGTAGCACTTTTCAAAATACTATATCCTCCCAGATAAATAATACTTTTGAAACTCAAACATGCTAAACATTTGACAGTATTTACTGAATCATCTGTGTACAAAAAATGGCCCTAGATTCGCAACAGTGTACTGTAGTTTTTCCATACAATTAGTCACTTTTAATGTTTTCACATACCCCTGTGAAACCCCTGTATGACACTACAGATAATAAAATAATAGCAACTCTCATTCTCCACAGAAAGACGCACACATACAATCTTGATTTAAATAAACTGTTGTTTAGGAACGCAAAATAAATCAACCAGAAACTCAGTTGTCATAAAATGTATTATAACAAAAAAGCTTTTAAGTTTTATTCAGAATAACAAAGCAGAAGACAGAAAAAAAACAAGTTTTAGAACAAGTCATCCTCGTATGTTAGTCTACACATTCTTACCTGTACATCTACTGCTGTCTGCAGAACTGAGCCTGTCCCTTCTACATAGTGTCCATACCTTGACAACAATAACAATCTTAAATTAGTATTTTCATTGGACCTCATAGTACTGACAACTACAAAGATGCAGGGAGGTTACTTGGGTTCCTTTGCTTTGATTAACGAATCGCCTCCTGGACAGATAAGTAAAAGGCCTTGTTATTAACAATGCTAACCCTTGGAATACAGTAGCCTCTGAACACGCTCTCTGGGGATGAGTCTGCAATCAACACACATGGGTTTAGCCACACTAATGCCTTACATAAGGCAACTGTCCAAGGCCAAGGAATTCAAGCGTAGCATCATCAGAAAGGGCTATCTGCATTGCAGAAGCCAATTTTACATTAAGGGAAAATGTGTTAAAGGCCAAATGGTCCTAGGGGTTCAAATTGTCTCTCTGTATTCAAAGGAGGACCATTAGTGTGAGCCTCCAGCTTTTATATCAATCCATTAGGAACAAAGTGGTTCAGTCAGGTTTGTATTTTGGTTGCTTGTGGATTTTCCACAGAGGGAAGGGATGGGGGGTGGCCAGGCATCTACACAGAGCAGTAGAAGAAAGAAAGAAAAAGCAGAAAGAAAGAAAAAAATTAAATCCAACTGAGCAGTAAGCAAAATTACATTCTAAAACCATATGATAGCTTTTTTGGATGCTTTGTGGTTCATTGCATAACAATATGTTTACTCTGTAGTCTCTTCCAGGCTATCATTTAAATATAATCATGGGCTTTCAGAAACATGCTCTGCTAGTATAACTATGATAGCGTTTGAACATCCTGAACAGAAAGAGACTGAGTGAAGTCAACACATGGCTTTTGCATGGTGGAAGAACTTTGGAAGATTCCCCGCATTAGAGCGATGTGGTCTGCACCAATCATGAACACATACTATTCTCTAGTTTTATCTGTGCATCTGAAAGGACAGTTATAAAAGTCTTTTGCTCCATTTGAGGCCCATTCTACAGCAAGGCACTGGAACAATTTTTGTTTCAAGCCTTTGTAAATCCACAATGAATAAAGGGATACTCTCCCTTCAGCAGACACAATGACCCAGTAGGGCTCAATCTTGAGAATTTCTTCTTCAGTTGGAAAAGCTTGCGAGTGGTTCTGCCAATATCACTGAGAGCAACACTCATTTTAAAATAAAGTGCTTGCAAATCTTCCTTAGGATCAGAACAAAAGGCTCTAAAACTGATACAGATTAAAAACACATGGAATTGAACTATGTTGTAAATACATCACCTTTAATTGGTTAGCTGCATTCTGAAAATTCCCTCATAACCACATTTAACAATGTAACACACATAGCACTGAGGTATCCTGATCATCTTCTTATGTAGCATCTGATTGTATTTCAGATGAATATATCCGAGCCAAAATAAATAAGTGAGGATAAATTTGAAAGTGGTATTTTAGAGTTTTATTGGGGGAAAGAATCTTTTAATAGGATCCATGTTACATAAAATTCTCCAATCTAAGTAATTGGCACTAGAGTACAGAACTCCTCACAAAAAATCCAGTTGGTGTAAAAGTGGTTTGGGGATGTGGGGGGTGTTGGCTTTTTAACACAAATGTGGGCAGATGGCCAATGTTAGCTGGATAGTTATTAATTATTATTGCAGCTGCTGACTACTACCTTAGACTCGGAACATAATTAAAGATGGGAATTTTTACCACAGTAAAAAATGATGCATTGATTTTCAGACATTTCATTACCAGTTATAATGAAAGAAGTTGGCTTAAGAAATTACAGTCTTAAATTTTCATCTGACTCAAGATTCCCCCCTACCTCTTTATTTCTCTAAGCTTTCAAAAAAACCTCTTCGTTTCATTCACATATTATTTCTGGGTATACCATGTTCTGTATTATGACTAACAAAAAGGTAATTTTCACAACACTAGAAGAGAGTTTCTAGAACTAATATTACACTATTTCAGAAAGGCATTGCTTCTCTTGTCAATAGCATATCAAAAACTTACAAGCAAGTCCAGAATGATTATATCTGAAGAAGTAGTTTTCATTTGCTGTCTTTTAAAATGGACATTCTCCTCTCACAACTTCAGTCACCACAAACATACTCCTAAGAGAAACCATGGCGTTTGTAGTCTTAAGGAACCCGGCAATCATTTTCCAGTTGCCTAGGAGTCCAAGGTCAGAAGGAAACACATGCCCATCTGCTAGATCTCTCATGCAACATGGGCTGTTATATTTTGTCCTATATTCCACCAAAGCCTTTCAGAAAACATACTGGTATGACAAAGGCAGAAAGGCAAAAAGCACTTACAAAGTATCTGTGTTTGAGGTCCCTGAATTAGCAAGGATTGGAGAAGGCATACCCAGATTATCCTCATCACATGAACCTTGCTGGAAATACCTAAAGATCAATCAGAACTGAGGGAAATTTTCCTCTTAGTCTCAAAGCTAATGATCAGTATGACTTGTAAGAAAAACATCAGACAGGCATCTCAGCAGAGGGATTCTCTGTACTACTTGGAGTGCTGTTCTGCTCCATTCAGGGTCCACTTTCCTAAATCTAATGCTTCAGAGAAACATAAAAACAGAACTCCTGCAACATATACAGCAGCAACTTACTCTTGGCCTCAGAACGTGATCTGCATGAAGCCCGAGATGTAATTAGAATCCTTCTCTTAATGCACAGCTGTAAATTATATGACTGTATTGAGAATGATGTTGGAAACCTTCCTTCCCAAAAGCTCTTAAAAAAGGGAACAAGGACAGCAAATCAGATTCCTACATTTTGAGCCAAGAAGAACTACCACAACGATCTGGCCTGGCTCCTTGCACATCACCAGAAGAGCACCAATCATGTTCCGTGTCAGATGTCCCACCATAAAGACTTCATTTGAACTACTCAGGAGCCTCCTTCAGTGTGATTTTGATAAACATGACCACAAACTACCATGATGTATTCTAATGAAACCACAAGTGGCCAATTTAGTTTTGATGACACTTAAGGCATATATGAGATACATTAGAGATCATTCTGGCCTAAGGTTTTTATTCAACTATTCCAGTAAGAAACAGGTCCCATGAGATGCTGAGTCCCCCGCAACTCAAAAGAGCGAGGACAGAAAAGACGTACGTCCATGAGAGCTGGGGGAAGGGCTTTCCTGTGAACTTTTGAAGTTCTTTCTCTTCTCAGCTTTTTGCTATCGTCAGAAAGTTGAAATCACAAAATCTGCAGGAACTCTGTCAATCTGGCAGTCTAATTTCTACTAATTAAAAAAAAAGTTATAATTAGCTTTAACTCACCAACTAAGCCATTTTGTTGAAATATTCTGAGAATTAAAAAAAAAAATCTAATTTGAAAAATTCACCAATATTAACATTTCCCACAAACTTCCAGGCTCCAACTGGCATTTTCCAATACAAATGCAGTCAGTGGACAAGCTCCTTACTGTCTAAAGGGTTTCAGAACACTTAGCAACCTCCAGCAGTCAAACTTAAAATTGCAAAGTACAAATCAGAAAACTACTACACAGAAAAGCACTGATGTTCTGCTCCATCAAATATGATTTGTAATGCAGCAACCTAACTGGTTTTATGACATATGGCCAATTCACAGCTATTATGACCTACACAGCTGAAAAATCCAAGAAATCAATAAAATGTACAGTGGAGACAGTTTTAATGAGGAATGGATCTGTCATGCATGACACTTTGTAACTTCATTGAGCAATATAAAAAAATTCATTAATGAATCAGTACTATACCAGTCTACTGGAACCATATTTCCGCAGGGGTAATTAAGCTTCTGTGAAGGTCAACAACAAATGGCACTGTCTTTTGTGAATGCCTTTTTGGAGGTGGCACACGATGTTCTGCCAGAGAGATTCTCATGCTGGCACTCCACTGGACCAGGAAGCACACTATATAAGGAGACTTTTTTTTTTTTTTCCAGAGGCCTGTGTTATTTTGATGAAATGGGTCTTCCTTGTTTTTACAGTACACAAGTAAAAACACACTTAAAATTTCAGGACACAATTCAGCAAGACATTTTCTTTGCAACTTACCCTTTTGTAAAGCATGTGGATCTCCGGCAGGTGGGCTTAACAATGTCTAACAAGAAAGCATAGCGCAATAAGGACTTTGGTGGTAAGAAATACTGAATCATCTCTTCATTTTCCTCTTCCAAGAAATCCTTTAGCATTTGAATAGAGGAATCATTGTCCTGACCATGTTTCCTTTCAATTTGTTCAACTGTTTCAAGCTTAAAAAGAAAGGGCCCTTTTGGTAAACTCTTCTTGCTGCTGCAATCAGGGGCAATGTTTCGATCCAGATTCTTCTCTTCAGAAGACAAGGAAGAACTAGCTTCACCCACTTTGTCAGTGACTTTGTCATTCAATAAGTCTTCTAGATCCTGATCTGGGAATCTTGTCAATATCTAAGAACAAATTGTGAGAAAAAATTGAAGAACTGCATTTGATAAACAACTTAACAGAAGACCGCAGTGAGTAAAAATCCTTTCAGAGATGCTCCGAATAAAGCAAGTGAACCACTCAATGTTACTTTCATGAAGATTCCAAAAAATGTTAGCATCGAGATTTGCTGAGCTACCAGCAATGATGTCAGGAACAACTGCAAATAATTGCCTTTACAAAAAGACCCTTCTAAGGGTGTGAAAATGGTAGCAGAATGCATTGTTTTCTAGCCCACTATCGGCTACTGTCCCCCAACTGTTTAAAGCCATCTAAGGCCCAGGCATGAAGTCCTTAGAAAATTCAGTATCCAGGCTGAAAGACAGAATTTAGCTTTTTGTTGATATCACTTATGTCTCTCTCCATGCCTCAACACACACCACTAAACTGAAATGTAACCCTCAATCTTCATGAAAAAAAGCAAATTCAGGTAACACTAACAGACTCACCTGACCAGAAGCTTGAAAGGAAAATGGTTCTTGGTGAAGCTTTGCAATGAGAAAATACCGCAGCCTAGAATTGGGAATGCCAAGCTGTAAGCAAAATCCACAAGCCTTTAGTTCATGTGATAAAGAGAGAAAAAGTGGCCTATAGTGTCATACAAGCTATCTACCATTATATACAGTAATAGAACTATGCCCCAATAATATATTTGTCGAATTCAGAGATATCAGTATTAATCAATAACACCTAAACACTTATAACTTCCATACCTAGGTATTTTCAAGGAAACAAGTGGGGAATTATTCTTTGAACCTCATGGGGTTTACTTTCTCTGTAAATGAACAGGAATGTAAACAAACTTTTACACAAGGCAAGAAGAAAAATTACATGAATCACGATTTCTTGGGACAAGTACTACCTGTTTTCTATAAAAAAATCAAAAGGTGTCTCCTTGCCTTTTTGAACAGCTGGTTTTCAAGCTACTCTCTATCAGCTTCTCTCAGATCTACACAGTACTTCACTGATTCCATTTAGTCTTGTACAATCTGAAATCTCTCTCAACTCTCTTTTCAGTTGCCAGGGAAACATGCAAACAAAGCCCCTCCTCCCACAAATGACAGGGTCACATTTTCTGTGCTGCAAAATTCACAGGCATCAGCACTTCTGAAGCAATGAGGCTCCTGCAGGGAAAACTACCTTCCTGGTCATGGTGTAAATTCGTGCCTTCTTAAAAAATACCAAATGGTAGCAAAGCAATATGGGATGAGGATCTGAACAATAACAGCAGTATGATTATGCCAGTATACTGGTGAGGAATCAGAAGCCATGCCAGGTGGCTTTCTCATTCAGAAGAGTATCTTCAGCTCTGGGCAAGACTCTCTTTTCTCATACAATAGATCATTTTCAAATGTTCTTGGGCTCAGTACAGTTTGAAAAGTTAAATAATGTTACAGAAATTTTAGTACTCACACATGTTGGAGACAAGAGAAATTCTTGATATTTAAATCCACATGTTTCTAGTGTTCGCAAAAGTTCATTTCTGGCAGTGAAAAGAATCAAAAAGCAGTTACACCCTTCACACAACCTTTAGGCCCTTTTTTATTGTAACTAAAAGCACACTAAATGCAACACCTTAAGTACGAAGACATTCAGCACATTCAGTGAAAGAACTGGACAGAGAATCACAGATATGAAGTCATCTGCTTCTGAACTTGACAAGACAACATACGAAGTTCAGTGTTACTGCAGCCAAAAATGACTATTACACATTCACAGGTATCTCACCCTACTTTGGTGCAAACATGCCTTCAAAAAATTGCATCTCTAGGACATTACTTACAGCATGTCAACAAGGAAATAATCAGAGGGCAAGGCATTCTCTTTATTGTGAGTTATAAAACAGGAGATTAAAATCACTACAAATAGCTCACTACTTCCCTCTGTTCACATACATGGTATCAGGTAGGCTTAACAAAAGGGCTAACTCAAGGGATGACAAAAATTGGTAGCTTTGATAATAACAGTGAGGTAGGACTGTACTTTATAAACAATGGAAAAATCACTGAAACGGAAATCTTCTTAGAAAGACTTGTCTTTTCTATTCCATGCAGACTGCACGAGGCTGGAATATAGAAAAACCATTCCCTTCTAAAGAAAATGTCCTTTACGAAAACTGAAACCTACATAAATTAAGACTTTACCTGGCAGAAGAGGATTCAAATCCTTTAACATTTTCTAGAAGCAGGTATTTTGGAAGCTTCTGGAGCCTACAAGGGAAAAAAAAAAAAAAAAAAAAAAAAAAAAAGATCAACAAATCAAAGTATCAGGATGCGATATAAACTACATTACATTCCTCTACAGATTTGTTTAGCTACAAGAATGATCAAAGTATTTTCACATCATGCTAGCTGTTAAAGTTTAGCATCCTTAAAAAAATGTACCTCAACTTTCAAGGTTGCCTAGATCAACTCATTCCCAACTGAATCAAAAACGTGGACTGCTGGCATTATAACAACAAAACCCACTTATGTTCAGATGGACTGCTGTACCCTCCTGTACCCTGTGCGTGTACTTTTGAAAATGCTTATCAATGTTCATTTCCTAAAGCATAATATTATTATTCAACAGATTGGGTTTGTAATAGGAAAGATAACTGTTGGGGGAAAAAACATCCCTACTTAGCCATGGAACAGAAAACTTTTGTTTTAAAGCGCTTAAACCCAAAATCAATGTCAAAATGTCACATCCGATGTTAGCGGTAACACATCAGAACCAGTATTCATCTAACTGCTTTAAGAAATATGACATGTTTAGAGCTCAAAATGCAGACATTCTCAATTTTCTATACTTAACTTTTTCATTTTGATGGGGGGAGGGGAAGGAGGTGCCTGAGGTTTAGCAAGATCAGTGCAGAGGTCTGGAAATAGGCTCATTCCAAAACCAGCATATTAAATCTCTGGAGAAAGTAACATGCCCAAACTGTTCCAGGGACCATTCTAACATTTTAGAAGCACAGATGATTGAGATTCAAGTCTCTGGGAACATTCCCTAGCATTAATTCTCTAGTAAGGCTAACATAGACATAGTATGTCCACCACACATTGGGATCTCAGAACAGCATATAGAAACAGGACGCCAATGCCACCAGACAGCAGCTCCATGCTTATTTAAGTCAGTGACTTTGGATTTCCACTGGTACGAATCACAGCAGAATTTGTTTTAGCACATTCTTAACTACCATCAATTAAAGACATGCACATGAAGAATTAAAGAACTGAAACATTTCACAAGAAATTGGAAAATGTCAGCTACTATGTCAAATTTAAAAATACTAAAAATAATAATGAAAAAAAAAATCTGAACTGGAAAAAGCAGCAGCGGCCAAATTCCCTGAAGAGAAATGGAGAATATCTCTGTTGGTATGTTTACCCATGTTCAACATTATCATCACCTACTATGAAACTTATTTTTAAAGTAATGAATCCAGAGCATAGCCTGAAATGCAAGAGCTCATACAGGATCAACAGATCACAAGACAAGTAATCACTATACAAAGAGTATGTGTTAAGTACTTGGCAGGTATTAACATTACAAATGTGTCTGTAAAAGTAGCACTTTGACGTCTCAGCATTAGATTTCCCTCAGTTATGGCTTGGACGTGATAAACAGACAGTAACCAGACGATTTAAGTCAGACTTTGTTTGCCCCCTGCTCTGAGGATTTCTCTGGCCCTCCCAGATCTTGAAATTGTCGTCCCTGTATCTCTAATATTGGTCTTCCCAGGCTATCTTTGAGCCTCATTTCAGTAACGTTTCATTGGCTGGACATAAGAGAGGAACAGGCAAGGGATGAGAAATTATTTTATAGTTTCCATAAGCTGAACCCACTCTGTACCAATTTAGACTGCAAAGGATAATTCCTATATTAAGAATTTCCCTTTTTTGGGCTGAAATACTCCATACGTAATGTCTGGCAACATGTCATATCCAGAAAATACACAAACACTATCTTTGTAAAACATAAATCTATTGGAACTAAGAAACCGCAGAAGCCACCATCTTGAACGTATTACAGACTGCTTACACTAAGCACTGCCTCAGGAAACAACCTGCTCAAGAGAGATAAGGGACATGAGCAGGGTCTCATGGGGTGTCGAGATAAAGTATCACAGCCATGCCCAGCTCCTTTGCATGGTCATGACAAAAACCGTATGTCCTGAAGTGTCTAAAGCTTTGGTTCTGAGAAGGAAAAGCTTCTGCCCTTTATCCAGCTAAGCCCACAGCAACGAGGAAGCAACATTTCCATATTAATGCACAACACTGTCCCAAAAGCAGCCACCCTCTTAACTGTGTCTCAGTTTAATGGAAAGGAATACTGAGGTCAGGATTCCCTTAAGGATAAGAAAGGTACTATTACTCTGATGAATTATTAACTTACACACTATCTGCTGTTTTTAATTTATCATTTTGAAAGGTCAGTCCGGAGGACTGAGTTACATTCCTTGTTCCAGAAAAGACATCTTTACAACTTTTGGAAATCCACATTACCTCCCTATTTTTGTGCCTCTGCTAGAAGCAGTGGAGTAGTAATAATTTCTTTTTACCTATTTGTCTAGCTTACTAGGCTACAGAATCTGGTTTGTGTTCTGGTTTGTGTCCTCTGCCACAGATTTCTTAGGTGATCCCAGCCAAGCCACTCAGCCCTCTGTGTCTGTGTTCTCTATCTGCTGATGACAAGGGCAAAGAGGTGGTCCCATTTAACGTTGCTGGTTGCAGAAAAGTTGTTTCTGGAAGCAGGATGAAGACCCTCTTCTCCCACTTGTAACAGCAGTTGAACAAAAGCCTGTTGTTGGTACCAGTTTCCTTCTGTGCAGACAGCATCCATTAAAAAAAGAAAAAAAGAAAAAAGAGCACCTGCCAGACCTTTCTTCAGCCTCCTCCAATTCTGACAGCAAGATTAACCAAAAAAGGAATAGAGAGAGCAGCTGTCTCAGTCTTCAGCAGAAGCAGGACTGCCAGGTAAATGTTTGGTGGACTGTAACTGATGTATATTCTCAAGCTCATGCCGACTGGTGCCCAGTGGACATCTCAATCCAGAAGCAGGGATTTCTGCTGGATAATCTCCACAAGCAACTGCTTGCTTCACTTCCCCAGGAAGGTTTCTTACAGTGCTATACATCTCTTCCCAAAAAAATTCTAGTAGAATTACTTGGAGCTGATTGGAGGGGACAAAAATGTACTGCATTGTGCAGTCAGTAACATATTTCAAGAAACTCTTTCAAGTGTTACCTATTCAAAAGGTGACTAAAAGTTGAATCAAAGCTTTTTCAACCTGGCATTTCAAACAATTTTCATGTTTCCCTGACATCCATTAGCAAACTACTACATTACCTACTCTTGGTTGAAAATAAAGTCAATGCAAGTCTGATGTGGAACTGAAAATAGATAACTCAAGTTGTTTCATTTATGATATAACCACAGTTTAAACAGACACACACACAAAAGGAAAACCAAACAATGAAAGCATAAACATTAACTTTGAGACGATAATGGCATTAGTAAAATACAAGTATTTAAGTTACATATGATCACGTGAAAACAAACAAGTAATACAACACAATATTACTAGTACCCCTGTAAAACATTATAGATGACTCATCTCGGTACAACATAAAACGCTTAAAAACTGAGGCAGAAGTTCATTTATACCTTGGGAGAATATCAAGGATATAGAGAAAGCTCTTTGTCCGTGGATCAGATACATCACCTTGCAGGCCAATTCTAGGAAAGAATAAAGAAACACCTGTATATTACTTGGAGCAGACTGACATTTGACTTACATTTTTCTACAGAATGCTGACACTTTTTGCTTTGAGTTTCAAAAAGGGCTTCTGCAAAAGCATTGTATATGGACATGAGGACCTGCTCACAGAGGCAGTGTCCTAAGAAATGCTCTAAGGAATGAAAGTCAGCCCTGGAATCCATCAGCTCACAGCAAGGTTAAAAATCGAAGCATTCAGTAATGAAACCCACTCTCCAGCCTGCAAAGTATTTAGCATTCTGGTCTTGTCCAGCAAACCCCTTGAACATACTTGGCTTTGAAAGAACAAAAAAAAAAAAAACCCCACTGAAGTTCCTGGGAATACCCAGCTATTCTATATCGAATATATTAAATTATTTCTGTGAATTAAAGCCTCAGTGCTCACCATTTTGCAGTATTGAGCCCCATATGAATAACTCTGTAATCAACTTTGTAACATTAAACTAGACAGCTCATGTATGTTATAAAAATGGTAACATAATATAACAATTCCAGGCCTGTGTTCCTCTAACTTAAACTTGTATTAGCTCTTAAAAAGAATAAAGCCTTGGTAGAAGAGTTTTAGCATGTCTCTAAATTAATTAGTCATAAAAAGATTTTTTCACGGTACTCTAAAAAAAAAAAATTGTGAAGGAATGATTCCTATATACATTGTAGGTTTGCACAAATACATTTTTATAGATCAGCACCACTTTGGAGGGATTTCTTTTTAATCTTAGAGCATTCACTGATACATATTTTCTTACACAAGCAGTTTCATCACCATCAACAGAATTTTTCAGGAAGCTACTCGTTTGCATGTGTACAATTACTAGAATCTTACCTCCACTGTCACTGCTGTCAAACTATATGAATTTGAATCTAATCTCAGTAAGTTCAGTGCCTGATTAGCAAGATATTTCTCCATACCATCCACAAAATCATTTCAAAGCCATTAGCCTCCTAGTCTTGCCTAAAATAGAAATATTCCTCAGAATAAACTACTTTTGTGCACATGTGATTTTCAAAGTACAAATAAAAACAGATTACTCTTAAGTCGCAGGCAGAAGTGAGAAATTCCAATTCTCCTTCTGGAGTTGCCCCAGGAAAAGGTTAGATAGATATCTAAAGAGAAAGGAAGCACTCCTAAACAGCAAAATCTTTGAATTTCACTGTTAAGAGGAACAATACAGTATGCAAAATAGGTGCTGTAAGAAGCTTAATTAATTTCAACTGAATTAAAATATACATTATGAGAAATGTGATCAAGATTTAAGATTCAGATTGCTGTATTTCTTCCACTTCAGTAAATCTCATGGTGAGTAGGGCTACAACATTGTTGCTCAGGAAGAGAAAGATACACAGGTGAACCACACATAGCATCATTCTTGGAAAGATTTCTCCTTTAGCAGTACATATTGTAACAACTTCACTTTTCTCCAAAGTGTGCTATATCTACCTTGTAAATGGCTGACAGGGAGGACTCATCAAAATCATATCAAAAGATAATCTGTCAAATTCTTTCAGTGTTATGCCCTGAATAAGGAAAAAAATAGAAGAATTTGAGTGTTGTAAACTGTATGAAACTCTCAAGTTATGTTTTAGACAAAACTATATGCTTCACCTAGCAAAAAACTACCTAATCTTCCATTTGACATGATAATTTTTTTCTCTTCTACCTCAGTAAACCATACAATGCAAATACACATTTGGTTGCTTTGAATATAAATCAAAACCACTAATGATGTGAGCATCTATACATAGTATTGAGGGGTTTATCTACTCATTCTTTCAGAAGAGGTGGAGTGGCTCTTTCAGTAGATCACACCAAAATACCAATGAGTTATTTCGTCCAAATATAAGTATCATTATTCAGATATAAAGTCTTTGTACATAAAAAAAAAAAAACCAAACCAAACACCAAACCAGCTGAAAAAATAATAGATCTTCTCAAGGGACAAAATAACTGAACAGAAAAGTAGCTCAAGTGTTAACATGGTCATTTTTACAGGTCCAAACTGTGAGTTTTAACTCAAGGATCTCACTAATAATGCATCCTGTAAAGTTTATTTTAGTTTTTGATGAGTAAAAAACCCTCATACAATATAGCTGAAAGCCCTACTCTGCAAAAATATTTCCATTCAGAGAGTAATTACACAGGTAGAAGTTCCTCTAGACTAAATTTAAAGCAACACTAGAACGACAACAAAGGGGCCAAGAGGAGAGAAGGATAATTATGAAGTAACTATGAGCTAGACAAAGAAATCACCACCATACATATTTTGAGGGCTATCTGTACAGCAAGCGTAACATCACTGCCCACAGAAACTAGACAAAAGCTGTTATTTTTCCAATAAATGTAAAGAAGGTCTTACTGACTGTAATCTGCATATTTCTATTTTCCCATATAAAACTTTAAACTATCATTTATTGAGTGCTGAATAAGCAGCTAACCTTTAGCCGCCTATTTAAGTCTGGAGACTTAGAACAAATTCAGTATCTTTTACTGTCATGTTGTAAAACCGTAAAAGAAGATTAGAAAGTATACAGTAATTTCTAACTAAATCCAGGCAAACCCACATGCCTAGTTTGCTCCTCAATTATTAAAATAGAAGCCAATTTTACCTAGTTGTTCTTTAATTATTTGGAAAAGGGACAGAATTCCTAAAATATTTGATCTATTGAGCCCACAAAAAAATGCAAGACTGTCCATCCAGTATATTTTCTTGTGTTTTACTGAGCTCAACTATAACTCCAAACCAAAGGCATGCCTCCAAGTAATTTAATTAAATTCTTTCAAGATACACGAAAATATGTTTTTTAATCTAAAAATATGATTTTTGTCATTCCTTTATTGCTGGCAACCGTTCCTCTTGACATTCACATAACCCTTCTCGATGCAACAGTGAAGACTTTCAGGGAAAGATGCAGTGTGCGTATCCCGCTATCTTCAACAACCAACCACAGCACAAGAAATCAAAGTTATTGTAAAACTGCGTAACATAAATTAAATCTTTTTGTTTCTCTTATTAGTAACAAGGATAGTGACGACAACTTACATCTACAAATGCCAGACTAGAGCAAAAAAAGAAATTCATTACTCACCTCAATTGTTTTTGCCCATAATGGCGTGCTGGGAAAGTTGTGCTTATAAACTTCATTGGCAAGAGTGTTCACATCAACAGCAGCAACAACTTCTGCAGATGTGCAGCTTTCTAAAATTAAAAAAAATAATAATTTGAAACCACAGCTTCTCTTTACAACTCTTGGAAAAATACATTTGTTCAACTGCATTACAGCTACGCTCAAAAATAAAAGGGAAATTACACGATCAAACTGCTGGGTTGCCATTAAAACTCTAGATGAAAAAATATACCATGTTTCAAACCATTTGGCCAGTACTTCCCTTCTCTATATATCTAAAAATGGAAGCTAACTGCACACTTCTTAATTTGTAGATGCACCCTGTTTGGAGCTTATGTGTGACTGTATCTCTACAACGTCCCCACCCACATTCAGTTGGCCTCTGGCCACCAAGTTCCTCAGCTACAGAAAGGCAGCCTGAGTCAACCCTGCCGAGCCCCCCTTCACTGCCTGAGACTCTCCAGCCACTGGCAACTTGTAAGAACTAAATGTATTATTTTACAAGTATACTACTTCTCATTGTGAAAAAATGGCACCAATAAATAAGTTTGAGGTACGTTTACTCCTGCAATAAAACTTTAGGAAGTTGCCTGAAAAGCATTTGTGCTTCTACTCCAATAAAACCTTGGGCCTTGAACCGAACTGCCCCCTCCTTTGGGTTCAAGGTCCCCACAACACCAAGTGCTTTGAAGGACAACATTTGGCAGCTCGTCTTTTCTTGATATCAAAGGAAGTGCTTCTGGACACTTAGAGGTGTTATGGAAAAGAAGAGAGCACAGTGTAACAAATATACTGACAGTTAAAATCCTGAAAGAAAAATACACTAAAAAGAATGTAAATAAGCAACGGTTAATTTATAGAGTAACAGAATAATAGGTTTGACAAAACCTAAAGACATAAAAAGAACAGTGTATTACCCACTGCTCATCATGCCACACTATTTATTATTACTAACCACAGTACCTTCACTGAGGCTTTTTACCCAGGAAGCTAGGCTGTGGTTCCTGTTACAGCCACAGGCAGAACACAGTGACCGTACTTCCTCATAGGCAAGTGTCACAGAGGTACGCTAAAACAAACCCAGATGAAGGACGACCTCAAACAACTTTATTTCACAAAACAGCCAAAACCACACAACAGAACCAGTGAGAAAGGGGTAAACTGAAATCAATCAACACTCTGATAACATATAGCACGTAACAGGTTTGAGGCACCAGTCAGAGTATTGTTACTGCACGTCAGTACACACAAGAATGATGATCCCAAGTGCGCGTGCATGCGCTCATTCACAAAGGAGAAACTCGCTCCCTCTCATGGGTACCCAGAAGGTGCAATCACTCGCCTGGGAGGCGAGGTGAGGGCTCACTCAAGGATATATCCGGAAGAAATCACTCACCAAAAGGAGGTGAGGGCACTCAATCCGAGGAAGTTTCCTCAGGTGGCATCCCAACCCTGGGGCTTTGAACACAGACCCGCTGCTCCGAGCAGACCGCTCAAGGGGGGTCTCAGCGGTGTGCCGTTTATACCCAGGTTTGATCTGAGCTGTGGTCACAACTGGTCATGATCCAGAAGCTTCTCTGAGCCAAGGCGCCTCATCAGTCGTGGACCCTGTCTGTTGGCCATAATTGGTCACGATCCAGAAGCTTCTCCAAATGGAGGCACCTCACTAGCTGTGGACCCTCCCTGTGGGCAGAGGGGTCCTGCTTCTCCTGCCCCCCTACGGAGGGGTGTACATGCCTGGGGGCATGGCAAAGCACTAAAGGCGTGAAAATGAGGCAGGAAAAGCCAGTGATCACCGTGTTAAAAGCCCTGGTCTTTATCGGAGGAGAGGGGCGGAGTGCATATGCCACAACAAGACTAGTTTCAACCACCAGGAAATCTACATTAGGTCACCACTACAAAGCCCCAGAGGAAACACAGGCGATTTAAACAAAATGTTGTAAGCCAAAAGAAAGGCCAATAGCCACATGCCTTTGAGTAGTCTCACAACATGCTCGAGTAACACATTAACAAATGACCTTACGAGACATCTTATGAATTACTGCTAGTCAGCTAATTATTTACAGTTTGAGAGGGTGAAAAACCAACAATGATGTCCCCAGTGGATTTAATTTTTGTGATGCAGTTATCACCCATCTACTCTCTCTCAGGTTTTCAAGGCCATCTTATTCAAAACTAAGATGAAAGAGAAATACGGGTATTGGAAAGATTGTAGCAGACATTTTAACAAAGACCAACCTGGTTCTCCTGGCTTTACTTGGTGCAATAGAGAGCAAAAAGAATGAGAGTTTCACAAGAAAAAGATTTACAGACAGCTGCGCATTAAGGGTCAACATACAAATCACTATTTGCAGTTACTGTCTTGACATTTTGACCATAAATTGTCACTGAAGTATTAAATACAGGTGTATCCACGAGGACAACAGAATGACTACACCTGAGATTACAGAACAGGTATGTTAACACTGACATCTAGCGTGAAAAGAACGTCACCTTAGTAGGTCAACTGTCTCAATTTACAAGTATATTCAAGAACCAACACTTTCATCGTCCTAAAACAAAGCTGTAACATCCAAGTAATGGGAACAAACTTCAAGTACTGTTTAAGAGACTGCTTTTCTCATTTATTCTTTCCATTCTTAAAACAAGTTGTGCTGACAGCTGATCCTTAGTGTGCATTCCAGGGACTCCAGAAGAAAAAAAAAAATAATCAAGAAACTCAAATTATTATCTAAATTAAAATACAGTTTAAAAACAACAACTGGAAAGGCAGGCAGTGTGCTTTCTCTCACAACTCACAGTTCAGATGCTCATCCTTTTTACTAACATCAATCCAATCTCTCCTTGCATACACACAAGAAAAAAGAAGTACTGGGGATTTGCATCACAGGGACTTCACAGACCCAAATGCCTGGAAAAACTGAAAGAGAGCACATAGCTAATAGTAATTTATTGAATCCCCTTGCAATACAATGTTCAGTCTAAACCAGAGATGTTAGCCCGCATGGAAAAGGGACAGGAACTTTTCTTGAATTATTCCACCCGACATCCTCTCTTCCCAATTCAGAGACCTGATAATTTTTTCAAAGCTTCTCTTCCTTTTCACTCAAAAGCTGTGGCTCACTTGGGAGTTCCTGTTATGGAACAGACTCCCTCTAAAAGCTGATTAAGCGTATTTGTGTGGAAATACCCTGGAAACGCATGAAGGAGCTCCAACAGACAAGCAGATCTCACACATCCAATCTAACAAAGAAAAGCTTGTGTAAATTTCAAACAATGTGAAAATTAAACATTTTTGAAGAACTTCTCCTGAAATCTAAATAACTTTGATGTCAAACTGTGATAGTCTGTTTTTCTACAGCATTTATATTTATTACTTGAAAATGACTGTAGGAATGTATCATAAAAAAGACTGAAAGCAGAATCTAAAAAAAACAGAATCGAGACCGTGTTTAACTATCACCACTGACAAAAGGCACAAAAGCAACTCAGGAATATGAAAATGCCCCTGAACTGCTGACTTAGTAAGATGTTAAATCAACTCCCCAAAATATATAGCAGAACTTCAATACAGAAACAGACACAGCTCTGGAGGCTTTTTTTCCAAACAAGCATGTCCAATTTTCAAGACACAGCCATTTAAGAGAATTACATCTACGCAGAAAACAATTTAATTTTATGCAGACTAAAGAAAAATAATACACATTTTCTAAGTGAAGCTAAGTAGCTGCCGGAATACTTGATTTGCAATATTCCTCAACATGTTTTTGAACCCAGACTTTCCACTTCTGAAAGAGATGTTGAAGCTCAGAGGGAAGCCACAGACATGATGGTGAAGTTACTGAGGGAGGTGTTACAGCTTATTTTTAGGCAGACTAGATTGTAATACTCTCTCTTGGCTGAAAGCAGGTGAACTCAAATTGTATCATCCTACTAGGAAAGTACTGATTTTGCACTTGAGTCTTAAAACAGATAGGATCCACATAGTGGAAACTCTTTAACTGTTATTTAAATTGCCTGAAGAGGCCGCAATCAAACTTTGGGTCCCAAGTCTCTATTTTGTTGTATACACAATGCTTACGAGCCCTTTCAGCTATGTAGTAGTCACTCGAGTGAAAGGGCCACTGCTGTAATGATTGGAAGGTGCAGCATTTGAAAGAGACGAAGACAAGCTGCATGCATTAGCTTCTGATTTGGAAAAAAACAAACCCAAAGGGTGTCATCCTCAAACCCTGAAAATAAGATTTCTGACCTTACAATATCTGTCCTTTTCTTCTTCAGAATCGATTCCTTTGTCATGTGTTTCTAGCAGACCTTAAAATTAACATAGATCTATTTATATTCACCACTCTACTTTTGTAAAAGAATCATCAATGTCACCAGAACACATGAAATACACCAAGGGCAGAGCCTGGTGGATCTCGGTGTATAGGAAAATCAGAGCCAGAAAAATTATCTATTTCAACAGGTATATGGAAACAAATGGAAAAGGGAAGATTAGTCACATGTTTTGCCAGTCTTGTTTCCTTTTGAAACAGAGCAAAGATTTCATTTCTGAGTTGTCAGCTCTTGGCTGAAATGATAAGGCTGAACTGCCCATGGCTACAGTCAACACACCTAACAGTAAACTGGATACTTGCTTCCTGCAGGATACTTGGCAACTTTTTTCACTGCTCTATTTGTACAGGATTTGTTCACGTTCAGCCATATAAACTATGTAAATTTACATTATAGCACAACTGACACCATCCTGTGCTACAAAGGGCTATATTTTAGAGAAGCATTACATCAAAATGAGTTTAGGTGTAAAAACTGGCTCAAACCAGCAATATTTTTGTTTTGCATTGTGCTGAATCCTAAAGCTGCTTGACAGTTTTGTCTCCTTTGCCTCTCCCCCTGAGGTAGCTACGCTCAGTGTAATCATGCACACCAGTTTATTATGCTGTGCAATTCACAGAGATAATCAAATAAAATGAATAAACAGAGATAACAGAGTACAAGAGACTCAAATTCTTACTCTGTAAAATTGAAATATAACAATTGCAGGGGAAAAATATTACCACCTGTATCACTGCAAAATTACGGTACTTTTTAAAAGATGTCCTTTCGCGTTTTATGTATGAAGACTTTTTTCGGTGACCTGGCAGGTTACAAATGCTTGTGGCAGAGACCTGGAACCCAGTTTTCATGGGAAAACTGCCTAAATTAATAAGCCAATTTAAGTTTGTTTTGGTTGGGAATGAGGAAGAGCAGGCTGTTTGTTTGATGGAAAGTTGCTAAGGAAATTATTTTGAAGCCATAGATTTTCTAAAAATAAACCACTGTTTTTCACTGCAGGAACTCTGCACTTTATACGTGTGTGTGTGAATGTATTCTTTATATATACATATATATATATATAAAAATATCATAGGTTTAGACATATATGATTTGAACATCAACCTTTACAAATCTCGCAGTTTGGAGCACAGGGTGGGAAGAAGGAAGAAATGCACTCCCATCTCTAGCTGCCTCAATCCTTCAAAAGTGTGAACATGAACAGACTCACTGACTTCTGACCTTAATCACGCTCAACTTTCTAAACTGTATGGTTTTGCATATCTTTGCTTAAAATACTATTATAAAGCATTCAAAGTCTAAACCTAGAAATTCTGCATATGGTGAATTATCTACAGCTAGAGTAACAACAGAGAGCTAGACAATCCCCAGGGTTTTTCTGTTTAATTTTGGACTGAAATCTAAATTCAGGAACAGCCTTCTTTTCGCTGTCAAAAAGAACCTGATTCAACTATGTGCTAATAACTTCTATGTACTGTTAATAGAGAAACACTTATAAGAGAGTATAAATTTCTGTGAATTTATTAAAATTCAATTAATTTTTACTGTAGGAGAGGACAATCTCAAAACCAATACTTGGCGCCAAATGCATTTCTACTTTAATGACAGCTACCAAAACAACGAACATTCTCATCCTGCAAGCTCAAGTATATGCTATCACAGCCAAAAAGGGCTTCAGGGTAGAAAAGGCAGCATCAGATTTTGTGGCAAATTTGCCACAAAATTTGCCACCTATTTGCCAATTGAAAACACTGTCAATTTCACAGAAAAGTAGAAAGTTGGACCAGCTCTGCTAAACATAACTGGCCACAAAAATGACTACATAACACAGCCAGGAACCAACACTGAGCCAGAACTTGCCAGAGCCGCAGAATCCCTTTTGTAGAACAAGTAGCTTTCCTGGAGTGCTGCCACTGAAGTATTACATGCTCTCTTTTCTACATGTTCCTATTATTTCTCTTGGCTGTATACATTCACTAGAAACCATACCAAGAAGATAAAGTATCATACATAATCTTCATCTTTTGTGTATTTGGTTTATGAAAGCACTGGCAAAATGGAGGGCTTGCTTTCAAGCTTCATATTTATATGGAAAAAAAAAACCTTCTAAGATTTCCATACCAAATAATATGCCATCTGCTAAAAGATAGCCACAAAATTGTATCAGAGACATTTTCAAATAGCATGGTTTCATGTACACGTACAGGCCTAAAACACATAAGAAACCCTATTATTAAAGTACTTACAGAGGAACATTCACTTTTTTTCTGTTTGATTTCCACATAAAAGCAAACACTCGAATCCCCCTTCACTTTACTTTGTTCCTTTATAAACTGTACAAGAAAACTGAATCCAGATGTCTAAGAGACTTAAAAAGAGACAACAGCAGAAAGTATCAAAATGCCAGACTACACCAATATTCCTGAATGCAATACAATTCATCAAAACTGGTTTCATATTCATAAACCTGTCATTAAACACT